CATCTTCGGAAATGAAGATATCATGGAAGCCGAGAACCCATCCCAACTTGCTTTGTTATAGTTGCTTTATTCAAAAAAAAAAAAAAACACTGATCTAGTATTATTAGGTTCACGTAGTCATGAGCCTGAAATTGTTCACAAATATTAAACAGTGAAGTAGCCTTCAATTGATTAAATCAGAATCACAAAAGTAATAATAATGTTGTTGGGTTGGTAGTTTCGATGGCATATATCTTGAATTTGTAACTTATTTGAAAGGAATATAATTTGTTTGTCGTGAAACCAGTAATACTTGTACTTATATTTTGTTGTCGTTAATTTCTACCTATATCGCATCTATACATGGAAGAACGCAAATGTTTAATATATGATTTATCAAAAATTGGTGGCACGTAACTAAATAGCAATTAATTGGTTGAACTATTTGGTGAAGAAATAGAATCATGGCTATTTCGAAATTATTGCATATAATGAAATGCAATGTTGTATGAGAAAATTTAGAATTGTAATTAAGATGGTCAAATACAGGATAGCATAATATCCCTAGTCCAAGAAATAATTGTATAATAATTTTTGGTTGTGTTGTGAAAAATGGGAGAATTATTGTATTATAGGTACAACTAATGTTGATGGTGAAATGAAAAAAAATAATAATAATAATAACAATAATACTGCTCAACCCTTCATTACATTATTACTTATTAATTTTTTGGTTAAAATTACCAATACATGATGTTCTGAAAAGTCACACGGCAATTTATGACAGAGGTCAACATAATATAAAGATTTAAAATTGTGTAAATTGATACTATAGCTTAAATTATGTGTAACGGAATGTACTAACTAATTAACTTAAAGGAAACATCAATTATGAAATTATAGTTTTACTTTATAATCAAACTGAATCCAATTACTGCAACGAAACCATTCATATTGCATAGAGTAATCTAAATTATATAGGCGCAAGACTATTACAGTAAAATCCCACAACAATTTCATAAAATCCTAAAATTGATATTGGCTTCTCCATGAGCACACATCGGCCATGACTTGGATTGTAGACATAGTACTGGTTCCGGCTAGGTGCATTCATCAATAAGTCTCCATCGTCAGATGAATGAGAAATTAAAAACTCATGTTCAATGCAAACAGTTTCATGTAGATCTGGAAACGGCGAAGATGGCATAGAAATTGGAAATTTGACACACACTCGGAAAAGTTGATGCTAATCGTAATTTGCATCCTGAATAGGTCCTGTGTCGACAATATCCAAACACCAGAGAACAAAAATTTTGGTTTTTACCATGTATCTTCATCAGATATACAAAGCTTACCTTTATAATTTAACAAAACCAGGCTCATCAAACCGTAAAAGGGATACATGTTCCAAAATGACTCGTCTGGACAGTTTATTATGACGAACTTATCATGCTTATTGTCAAAACACATCAACAGCTCAACGTGAAATCGGGAGCCTGGATCAAACATTCGTGGTTATCTAATTTTCCAAAATGTATACTTACCAGCAAACACACCATTGCCTAAACAAATTCTTGGGCAAACCGCTTGAACATCACTCCATGAAACGTTTTGTGTTGTTTGACCAACTGACCAAGAAAATAACTTACACAACATTTCCTGTCCATCACGAATATATAAAACCAAAATACGATAATGTGACTGATCATTGATAAAACCGAAAGTTGGATGCAATGATGCCTAGAAATTGGATTTTCAAAGGGTTCGGGCCGAGTGATAATAAGACATGTAGTTGGATTCAAAACCTGAATGGTACTTGCAACTACAAAAGACATCAAGTCAGTTGTAAATGGAAGAACTTTGTGGATACAAGTTGAATGGACAAACTTAGTCAATGAAGGACATAGTAGATGACCTTTATTTCGATGAGAGTCGAAAACTTTGAAAGACATGTGTGGTTTTTCTCCAGGAAGACAGAAAATAGGCTGGTTATGCAGCATATAATAAGGAATTGAAAAATCAAGAGCGGATGAAGGAAGCCGATTAATTATGAAAACCGCCGTGGCAAATGCTTCAACCCAAAGATACAAGGGAGTGTGACTGTGAAACATCATTGTCATTCCAAGTTTGCAAATTATGCGATGGCGACGTTCGACAACACCTGTTTGTTCCAGGGTATAAGGACACGAAATTTGATGAAGAGTGCCAGTATGAAGAAAATGGGACGAGATTTGAGAATTATAAATTCACCTCCACCATCGGAGTGAAAAATTTTTATACATTTATTAAATTGGCGAACAACATACTTCTCAAAAGCAATATAAGCAGAAAAGAAATCAGACTTGTTCCGTAAAGGAAGAAACCATATTTAGAATAGTCATCGACCAAACAAGCATAATAACGAAACTTTCCAAGAGACAAAACCGGGGCTGGTCCCCATAAATCACAATGAACTTTATCAAAAATAGCAGACGATTTCCAACTAGGAAGTTCAAAAGGAAATTTACTCATCTTTCCTAATTCACCACTATCACAAAAATGACCTAGACGACTAGAACCGGACACATTAATAAGGCCTTTATTCTGAAGACGCTGAACTGTAGAAATTTGGGGATGGCCTAAACGTTGGTGCCAAAGATCAAGGCTACCAGACTTAAACCGAATCAAAAAATGAGCTTGTGGTTGACTGGAAATGGTGTAAAGATCACCCTTCTTTTGACCCTTCATGAGCGAGCGACCTGTTTTCTGATCCTTAATAAAAAAATCAACATTAGAGAACTCACAATTAACCGGAGATTGAGATGTTAGTTGACTGATAGATAATAAATTTTTCTTTAATTTTGGAACCAAAAGAACTTGGGGCAAAGATAAAACATCATTATTTTGTTTGATAACAGATTCACCAATACCTGTAATAGGGATTGAAGACCTATCACGAATAATAACCGAATCCGAGCCAACATAACTATGAACATTATGAAGCATACCTGAATTGCCAGTCATATGATGAGTGGTTGTAGAATCAGACGACCATTCATTATCAGTAACCGAGTTATCCAGCGTAAGGGCCGCCAAAGCATGTGGAAGATGATAAGACGAAGCCATCGGATTTGGCCCTTTAGGAAGCCACTAGCAAATCTTTGTGATGTGGCCTGGCCGTCCACAGTACTGACACACCTCATCACGATAAAGGTCACGTTCTGCTGGAGTCATCCGGTGCTCACCAGGTGGGGCAGGCTTGTGAGACGGAGTTGGTTTCTGAAACGGTTGCGGAGGTGGACTCGGAGTAGAAGATCGAACCTGTTGTGCCTGAAAACCATGACCATGGGAAGTAAATGAAATATTTTTTGAAGATGGAGAAGAAGTAGACCTCTGATGCTGGCCATAAAAAGCCAAATGCGAGACATTGGAAGACAAAGAGCCATCAGTCTGATTTGCAAACCTAGTCTGCCTCTGATCGAGGTTTTGCAACTGGGAAATCAACTCTTTGTAAGTTGGCCGAGGTGGCTTCAACATGGTGGTGGTGAATGTCTCAAATTAGGGTCCAAGGCTGTTGAGGAGACAGTAAACTTTTTCTGCCTCCGGAATAGGTTTGCCGGTGGCTGTCAAACTGTCACACAAGCCCTCGAAGGTGCGAATATGATCAGCCACAGATTTGCCGTCATCTTTCCGGAGATAAGTCAATTGCTGACGAAGAGTGAACTCCCGTTCTTGAGAATCATGGGCATACTCATCTTTTAGGGCATTCCAAACACCATAAGTGGTGTCAAGCCCGATGACAAGTCCAATAGAATCTTCAGACAGGGTGCCAATAATCCAACCCCGAAGAAGACGATCGAATTTTTGCCATGCTTGGAATTTTTGAATTGATTTAGAGCTGGCTTTTTCAATTTCAGAGTCTGAGTTTTGAGGGTCGATTAATGGTGATTGTGAGGTGATCAATAACTTCTTGACTTTCGGCGAGATCAAGAACTTGCTCCCTCCACAAAGGGTAGTTTGTCTGGGAAAGTTTAAGGGTAACGAAGTTACCAACATTGAGAGACATGGATGTTTGTGCGGAAGCCATAGGAGAGAAAGCAAGGGCAGACGCAGGAGATGAAACTGAAAACGGATACCAAGCTAAAAACCAAGCTTCCCAGAAACCATAATTAAAAAAGAAGAAAACACACAGAATGATTTTTAATAAAAAAACTGAATTATACTTTGTGTTGTATTCAACTCAATTGACAGTAGTACATCAAGGATTCTATTTATAAACTATTACAGCTTCTCTGTCAATAACTAACTCGCTTGATAAGGATAGAAAAATACAGAATGAAAATCACTAACGAAGTGATCTTTTGATGATAACAACCGCAGTTGTAGAAGCCTAGACTTGATGTTTTCTTGACGTGATTAATCCAAGGCTGAGTGAATAACAGTTTTACAAGACTGAGTTGATCTTTAACAGACTTGTTATCAAACATGATAATTATCAATTTACTGAGTAAGACATCCTTATCACTCCAGCCACCCTTATTACTCCTCTTACTCAGAGAGGTCTTCTGTTGATTCAAACTGTAAATTTTTATTTTTAACCTATAGGAGTTCTGTAAGTCTTGATCTGAAAAAATGGTAATAAGACTATTGATCTGAGGCTTTAAATTCGAGAGGAGAATCAAGGATGAAGACGGTCTTCTTCAGGGTACCGTATCCTCAAATTTTTATGACATTTTTAATTTGGTAATGAAAATTCGATGATTTGAAGACTTCAATCCCATAAGATTTATGAATAATTCACTGTCAAACAACGATACATACACGACGTAGTAAGTGACAATGATTCAAACAACGATACATCCCAGAAGACTTCAATCTCTAAGACTAATCTATTTCGAACCAGTGATATGTACACTCAAAGTAATGCCTTTTGATTCAAACTAATGTCCTTTTATTCAAATTCAGACTTCTTCTTTTTTTCTTTTTTGGGTCATAGGAAATTTAATGGATGATCCCTATCCCAGCCAGTATTTGCATGTCCCCTGTTAATCAAACTTCTCTCATGAAGGGAAAAAATAAAATAATATAGACATCCTTCTTAAACAAAACATCAACTAGGAAAAAGATATTTATTAGCATCATCAATATGTCACATTCCTCCTTGTAATAAAAACTGGAATCAGCTTTTGCAGTTTGCTTAAACAAAAAGCAAATAAAGGAACATGCAGAAAACTCCTACCATTTATAATATACACATCATGATACTGCTAGAATTCGGGAGGGCGACTAGATGAAACAGTTCCATAATCCTCGCGAAGGAAATTCCAGTATCTATTCAGCATATGGTCTGATGGTATCACGCGATCCCACTTCCCTGTACAGAATATTGTATATGCATCTGCTGCATATCTGTTCAACAAGAAAAACAGTTCTACAATCAGATTTCGCTTCAACTCGTACAGATAAAGCTAGTAATACTATCTTGCAGTGGGAAACCCACTTGGAGATGAGTTTATTTTTATGGTTGCAACGTAATACTGGTATGTGTTTAAGTGGGATGATTGTACATTCTCTGTCTCTATTGATTTTCCTCACTGTGTTAACAAAAAATGCACATTACCTTCTTAAATTTTAGATATGGGAGGATACAGAAGATAGATAGTAACCCACTGATTTCTCATCAGTTACATAATCAATTTTCAAAACAAGCATAAGTCATGAATGAAAAGGCACAAGTGCTAACTTTTTCATGAACTTCTGATTTTACATTTGCAGAATTTTCTTTGCTCAATCAAACCCAGTAATATAATCTTTAAACAAGTAGCCCATCCATTTCAAAAAATGAAACCGTATACTCCCTTTGTCCCAAAATTATAGTCCACTTTGGATTTTTCTTTTTAGTTCAATTTGTACTAGAACTGAAACTCCAAACTTGACAATAATTATGGGATGGAGGGAGTACTTTTAAGTAATGCAGGTACTAAACCAAAGCCCAAAATCTGGTAGTGGGAAACATTGTTCACATTGACTTCAGCACAGCTAAAAATGCAGTTGGATGAGTTTGTGCCAGAATGTGCATGGAGTAGAAATGCACGACTATAGTTGGCATTGTAATGTTTCCTTGTTTTTTAGTGTGTGTGAGAACAGAAAAGCGTAAGAGATGAACCCAGTGACATCAAATTACTCGGTAATATACCTAAAGAAAGAAACTATTAATGAAACCTACACACACCCGGCTCTGGGGGGACCAGAAAAGGCCAAGCTGGAGAGTATTTCTTTCACTCTGTGTCTTAGTTCATCAGTTGGTTTGTGGCATTAATTCAGCAGTATACTCTTCCAGTTGCCACTTTGGAACTAAAACTACAAGCTCAAATTATTGGTCTTTCCATAGCACATACAAATGAATTGCCAAGTGTTACACCTTTTTGGCTGAAATTCATATATGTGACAAACATCAAATCGCAGAAAATATTCAACAGGAGTCATTTAGGGGTTACATGGCAAATACCATTGTGCTAATAGTTTTCATTGTAGAAAAAAGACAAGTCCATAGTACAGATGCATAATGCAAACAAAGTTAACAGACTTACTTTCCTATACCATGCAGTTGCGTCACGTGAGTCCAGCCCTCTCCTAGATATTCTTGAGAGAAACGCTGAATCATTACCGCTCTTTTCTTTTGTAAGCCTAAAGGTTGTATCACCTTTTCTATGTCTTGTGTATCAACCTCGGCTGCACTCTGGGCATCTGGACAGAGGGCAAAAAGCTGATTTATCACTCTGCTGGCCTGCACGGACAACAAAATGGTTGGCAAGACCTGTAAATTCAAATCAGATGTTCCCCTGCAATCAAGTGCCAATAAACTAAGAGGTCTCTGTTTTAAGTTTGTACGTTCTCAAACACTAACTTTTGAAAAAAGAAATCATCTGTGATCAGGACGAAAGTTGGAGAGCATTTATTATCAGGAAACCAAAGATGAGTGATAAATAATCTCCGAGTGACATTTCCTAAACATCAGAATCTCCTTGAGACTAAATATAACTTAAAGAGCAGCTATCTACAACATATGCATTACTCTTTACTCCATGTTTTCAAAATCCAAATTAAGCAACATCCTCCACTATCCAAGCCTTCTTTGCTGCCAAGAAATGTGAGTAACAATGAAGACTGCTAGGACTTGACCCAGAACAACATATCAGAGTGGAGTAAGAAGAAAATACACAGGAATATACAATCAGGAAATAAATCACTGCTTCGAATGAAGTGTAGAAAACAAGTGGTAAAGCAAGTAACCTGCAAACCAGTTGTGCGATTGAGAAGCATACAGATTATCAATACCCTCCAAGGATCATGAGCATGGTCTTCCTGAAGTAGAGTATGCGGGGACTGTGGTGGCTTCCATAAGTTGTCTGGAGTCCTATGCTCATAAGCCTCATCTCGCTTCTCGGACGCAGAAAGAGTCCTTTTTGGCAGGGCTATGACTTCTGTCGCATCTATTACAAGCTTAGTGACTTCAACACCTACTTTTCTCTTATTATTTCGTAAGTGTGGACTGACCAAAGTTGCAGTTTTCTTCATTGATTTCTGAGATTTCATTTTCAAATGGTTTTCCGTTGCTACTACTTCATTATCCAGTGATTTCACAAAATAAGGCAAAACTGTTCGAACTTTTTTCTTTCCTTTCTTTGGTCGTTTTTCACCACTTCTTGTCTTCCTCAATCCACCCCCAGTAATGTCCTCCCTAGTTTCTTTTGACTCCACAAGAGTGCAAGGCACAAGCAATGACTCACAAGCTCCTATCATACAAGGAACACCGGTATCTTGCAACAATTTCTCTGATGCATTTTGCAACAATTCCTTTGCTGCTTCTTCATCATACACAGACCTTACAGTGTAAGGTGCAGCATCTTGAACTTCAATCCTTGCTTCCTCCAAGTCCTCAACAGACAACTCCGAAATCAAACTCTTTGGTAGTGATTTTCGTGATCTATTCTTGAAATGCTTTCCAACTTCCTGAAATTTTTCTTGTACCGCAGACTTCAAAAAGTAGGGAGAAATAACTCGAACTTGCTTTCCTTTATGCTTTTCCTGCCCCTTCCCTCCATGCCTTCCCTTCCTTGATGAAACCTTGGAAACCTGCTCTTCGATCCCTTTATTATCATCAAACTCCTCACAACCAGCATGCAAATACACCGAATTTACTGCACCTGACATCTCAGAAACATTAGCCTCTGACTGCGATTTCCGGGATTTATTTCTGAGATGCTTCTTATTTTTCTCCACCGTTTCCTCAGCAGACTTCACAAAGTAAGGCGAAACAGTAGCCTCCTTTTTTCTGTTCTTTCTACCCATTTTACCACTTCTTTTCTTCTTGGACCATATGGGAGCATTTTCCCTCTCAATCTCCTTGACTCCCTCTGATTCTTGACAAACATTAGAAGAATGCCTAGCCTCTTTACCACACCGAATCTGCGAGATCCCACATACTGAATGCAAATCTTCTGCCACATCATCCAAATGCTTCACTCTGATCACTTCTAAATCCTTGTCTACATGTTTCCCGGAGTAGCCTGAAACAAAACGAGCTTCTTTCCTTCCTTCATTTCTCTCATTTTCACCCCATTTTCTCTTCGCTGGTGTAATCCTATCTGTATCTTCCTTCGATTTTGCCAGAATACTAGACAAAACCCCAGCTTCATTACCATTAGCACCAGAATTATTTCTTCTATTCCTTACAATAAAGGGAGTTCTTTTGCTATTCCCATCAATTTGATCACCCTTGAAACAGAATTCAGCAAACAAATTCTCCAATGCCACTTTTTTGGTGCCCACATCACTACCACCATCATTACTTATAACAGCATCATTCTTCTCCACCTTCAACTCACTACCCTTTGGCAATTCTTCCGTTGCCCGATTACCAGAACTCAAAATCGAAACTTTAACATCATTTTTCCCATTTTCCCCTAACCGATCATCATCAAGAGAGCAAACAGAACCATAACCTTTCTGATTTTCTACATAAATAGTATCAAAACTATCATAATTACTTACCCAATTATTCGAATGAACCACAAAATTACCATCCCCACCATGGTTCTTCTTCTTCTTCTTACTCCTCTTCCTTTTCCGTTTCCTTTTGTTTTGATAATCACAATCATCAAATGAAGATGAGAAATTGGAGACAATTACCTGTTCTTGTTCTTCTTCCGAACGAGGGTTCCTCATCATCGCAGCCATCCTCGCCATTTCTTCAATCCTCTCGAACTATTTGATATTTTCTGCTTAGCCCACAATGTTGTCTCTTTTTGGCGCGACTTTCTTCATTGATTTCATTTATTTGGCGCGAAATTTCTTCTACCAGCAAGATTTGGGGGTTTTGGTTTTGTTTCTAGAGGTTCTATAAACTCTGTAAAGTTTTCCTGGTTTATAACTCAGTTTCGCTTCAAATGGGCTGGGCCTGATTTATCTTCAACGTGAAAACTGAAAATTAAGACGAATCGTAGGATTTCCAAATGTAATTCATTCTGGAAATGGACAGCTTAAAGCCTGTCAATCTTTTGTCCGTAGAAGATCCTGGGATTGTAAATAGTATTCTATCTATCCCATAATTATTGTCCAATTTGAATTTTCATTTTTAGTTCAAACTGTACTAGAAATAAAATCTCAAAGTGGACAATTATTTTAAGACAGAGAAAGTAATATTTTTAGTATAATTAGAGAAGTCCTCAGCCTTCGCTGGGACGTATAGATTGGGCTTGCTGGCCGGGATCAAAATGAGGTAGCGGATATGTTGGCAAAATTCGGATTTCTCCTGCCCTTAAAGAGACACATTTTGTCAACTTCTCTGGGCACAGTTAGAGGTGCATTAGATGCGGAAAAGCACCTTCATCCCTGTCCTTTAGGGATGTTTTGTAATTAAGCTATTAGCTTCTCTATTATTATTTTTTTAAAAAAAAAAAAAGGTCTTACGTTTGCTTAGTACTGTATTTTGTTTACACTAATTTCTCTAAAAAATAGTACTTTTATAATTTGAAGATCTATATTTGTTCCTCAATAAGTTAAAAAATAATTTAAATCCCACAATAAGTTGTAAGTTTGTATTTTCTTATTTTTTCATCTAATTATAGTTAGTTCTTTAACGTTCAATGTTTTAACCTTTGACTTGTAAGAACGGCAATATTGTCTTGTGCTTAATTTTATAATTTTGTAAATATTAATTTTTTCCATCTAAATTCTTTTTTAAGTTACTGAATATCTTATTTTTAATTTATTGTTTTGGAGCAGTAATTTTTTAAAAATACAAATTTTTAGTTTTTGTTGGCGCCTATATAGAGAAAATAAAAGTTTGTTTGCATTTTCTACTTTAAGAAAATTAAAAAATATATAAGAAAGTAAAAACGAAAAATTAAAATTCGTTTATAACTATTCCTCTAATCGAACATAAACCCCGATATCCTACCAAACCCCAGTATTATGTTGTAATTTGTTGATTGAGAAAAAATCATGTATATTTGTAAAAAAATAATTTATATACACATATTTTTTAAAAAAATTAGGATACTTGCCTTCACGAATTTATTTCGCACCCCCTAATATAAATCTTGGCTCCACTCATGATCAACATGCACGTCGGATGCGTGCTAGTTTTTTTTTTTTCTTTTTATGAAAAGGTAAATATTTGTATTAACATAATCAGCAAAAATGCACTGTACAAGTCTCATTTGATTGTTCCCTATCTACCGGTTACAAAATTGTTGAGAGTGTACTCTCAAATTACACCAATTTTTACACTAACATTCTAATGCGTCGCAGTTCTTGATGAGTTACCATTTTGAAATTATTGTGGGTTTATAATTTACACTCTATCCTCATGTGCCAATTATTCATCATGGATCTTCTCAAGTTACCAACCATGCGATGTGTGTTGTGTGCAGATATTGAGCTTTTTTTTTTTCGAAATATCATCCAACAATGAGCAACCCATATAGTTAACTAAAATACTCACTTCGCCCATAATTATTGTCCACTTTGAATTTTTATTTTTAGTTCAAATTATACTAAAAGTGAAACTAAACAATAATTTTGAAACAGGGGGAATAGTGTAAAAGGGATGACCGACAATGCAAATGCTTATGAAGTTGTAGCAAAACTTTATATCGTTGTTTATGAATTTTTCAAAATCGGCTAAAATTATGAACTAAAAATGAAAAATTACCAGTCAATAATACTATGATTTTTTGCACGACTTCTATTTAAATAACCAAAATACGTCAAAACATACAGTTTTAACATAATTAATTCATAAATTATTCTCCAATAATGTACTCTTCATATCAATTATATTGGAAGATTTTAACAACCGTGCAACACACAGGCCACCCTCTAAAATATAAAGGTATATAGATTTCCAACAAATTCAATGGAATTTGGTCCAAGTATATTGATACCTACCAATTGTTTGTGCGAAAATAATCACCTTCAACCGTGAGAAAGAAAAAAAGGGTAAAAATCTCTCAAACATAAAATATTCAGAACGATTGTGGATGAGTTTGAAAACAAGTATCGGACTCAGAATCGAGGACTCTTATGGTTTACTTTGGTTCATAAAATAAAGAGAGAACCAAACCCTTATGGAACAAGCCAAGTGGCTCGATTTATATATAAAAAGTGGGAACCCTAGCGCCGACAAGGATTAATTCGTCTTATTGATGGCACGCTATTAAATAGAAGTGAGATTATATGAGATTCGACTTCACTGTAGTAGAACTCGATAACAAACTACCTATTTCTATGAAGAAAGAATAGGCAAAGAACTATTTATCTAGGCTAGTTCTATGAAAATATGATAAAAGGACTTGAAATAAAGGACAAGGAAAAATAAAGAATAAAGGAGAGAGAGACGTCGGCCATCTTCTTTGGTTGTTGATGTTGAGATGTGGGTTTTTTCATCTTTGAGCGCGGCTGGCTTTAAATAGAGAAGATAGTCGTAGCTTTTCTTGGAGAGAAAGGAGTCCTTCCACCTAATTAATAGGAAATATGAATGATACTTGTATTAGGAGATTCCTTCCATGTGACAGTTAGGCATGATTTCACTTCGTTTCTTTGGGCTAAAGTAATTAATTAATCAACTCTCCAAAGATGTAGGAGTTAGGCCGAAACCATTATACTGCAAAGTGGCCAAATATGTGATCAATTACAATTAATCAATCATCACCGTAGGAGACTTTCATAAACCAAATTCAACTATTGTCCTTGTTTAGCCGAACTAATCCCAAATCTTGCTATATCCTTGCGGCACATCTTGCTGTAATATTGTCTGAGCCTGTGACAGTGCCTGCAAATACTTTGACGACTGCAACTCTTGCTGATATTGTACCTGCAACACATGTTGCTGTTGTGCCAACGACTCTACTTGTTGATATTGAACCGGCAACACTTGTTCTTCCATTGACAAAGCATGCTGATACTGTGTCGGCGGCTGAACTTGCTGATATTGAGTCTGCAACACCTGTTGATGCTGTGTCGAAGGTTCTATCATATTACAACCACCAATCAACATGCTGTGACAATCATATGGGTGTGACTACCAATAGCGGCCAGCCCCCTGTGACTTGAGGAATCTTGCTCGATAGAGACATTATACCATTCGACAACACCATCAGATTGTCAATTGAACCAGATTGGTCATAAGAGTGGGAACAATAGCCTTCAGAGGTATCCTAGTACCATCAATCGTTGAAGAAGCATAATCTGGATATGAAAACATGGACTCAAGAGAGATTTACCCACCAAGTAGTGATGGACTATAAATATGATTGAGGATTATCAGACGACCAATCATATGGAGAGGAGTCATAGATCGAATCCCTAGGGCTACTAAAACCATAAATATGGCTATAGGAATAGTCCATAGTGGAAAAGAAAAAATAGATTTTTTTTTAATTTTTTTGAGAAAGAGGAAAAATCCCAAAATGTAAAAATCAAACCAAAGCTTGTCCCATCGGGTGTACCAATTATGTTTGTGCGAAAATAATCACCTTCAACCGTGAGAAAGAAAAGAAGGATAAAAATCTCTCAAACAAAAATATTCAGAACGATTATGAATGAGTTCAAAAACAAGGCTCGGACTCGGAATCGAGGACTTATGGTTTACTTTGGTTCATAAAATAAAGAGAGAAAAAAATAAAAGAGATAGATAATGGAATAAGCCAAATAGCTCGATTTATATATAAAAAGTGGGAGGAAATCCTAGCGCTGAAAAGGAAGAATTCATCTTATCGATGGCACGTTATTACATAGAAGAGAGATTATATGATGGCACGTTATTACATAGAAGAGAGATTATATGAAATTCGACTTTACTGAATTAGAAATCGATAACAAACTACCTATTTCTATGAAGAAAGAATAGGTAAAGAATTATCTATCTAGACTAGTTCTATGAAAACATGATAAAAAGGCTTGAAATAAAGGACAAGGAAAAATAAAGAATAAAGGAGAGAGAGGCGTCGGCCTTCTTTGGTTGATGATGTTGAGATGTGTGTTTTTTCATCTTCGCGCGCGGCTGCCTTTAAATAGAGAAGATGGTCGTAGCTTTTCTTGGAGAGAAAGGAGTCCTTCCACCTAATTAATAAGAAATATGAATGATACTTGTATAAGGAGATTCCTTCCATGTGACAGTTAGGCATGATTTCCACTTCCTTTCTTTGGGCTAAAGTAATTAATTAATGAACTCTCCAAAGATGTAGGAGTTAGGCCGAAACCGTGATACTGCAAAGTGGCCAAATATGTGATCAATTACAATTAATCAATCATCACCATAGGAGACTTTCAATAACCAAATTCAACTCTTGTCCTTGTTTAGCCGAATTAATCTCAATCCAAGTGTGAATAGAATTAGCCTTCAAATATAATCCCTTAATTACAGGAAACATCCCATACTTAATCATATCGAACCGGGAATCCTATTCTCATATTATATTCCTTCAAATGCATGTTATTACTCCATCGGTCGACGGTCGGAAATAAACCAAAATCTGTTTTGGTGGTAACAATACTCTATCAGGGTTTGAAGGATGATATTCTCGTCATTCTCTCGAAAAGAAGTTCAAAAGACAACTCCAGCAGAAGCTTCCCCCCTTTCTTCCACCTGTGCATCTTCCATTTTGGTGTTTTTCGCAATAGATTCTTGGAATTTGAGGGGGTCAAATGGATCGGATCCTCCTTCAAATTCAACAACATCTTCATTTTGGATTTTGTGTTGCAGAAGTTTCTCAATGAAATTTGGAATCGGCAATGATAATTCTCTTCATCGGGCTTTTAAAAGAGAAACGATTAAAAAAGATAAAATGAATGATGGAACTGAACTTACTCGAAGGAAAAACAATTTTTTTTTAAGTTGGGAAAAAGTAAGTTCAGTTTGTCCTATCCCCGTCATGTTGTGGTTACTACCTAGTTCATATGCAGTTCCCTGTTAATAATAAAAAAAAAAAAAAACAGACAATCATTTTAAGAAATTGACCTTGGAAAATTGAGGGAAATTGCCGTTCTTA